AGTTGTAATAAAACTTAAACCAAAACTGTTTTGTGTAACTGCAACTGAAAAATAAATGAAGAAATGTTTCCGGTTCCATTTTACAAAAACAGCACAAGGGTGAAAACCCTTCCTTTAACTTTCTAATAAAACCATTGCATGGATAATATCTATAATATTTTAAAATGTGTTTATTTTACTTTATTAGGAATTATGTATTTTGTAATATCTGACCAGATTTTTGGGGAGAAAAAGAATGAAGTGAATGCTTGTTTCCATTTAACCATTGCTATTGGAGGAACACTTTTGCAATTAGGATTTTCCTGATATAATTGTTATTAATTTGTTTAATCCATGATAGAAAGGCCATTAATAGTAAGCTCTGGAAGAGAGCCAGATACATGGTTATATATTTTTGCGGTTTAAAAAGGTGAAGTAATTTTGGGGAGATACAATGAACAAATCTTTTGTATTCATTTAAAGTATTTTTTAAACAGAAGTGTTAATAAATATATTGTAACTATGTAAGTCCCCTGCACGATTTACAGTTTTTCTCAGTCGCTTTTGTGCGTTTCTCAAACCACTAGTGCATTTCTGCACAAATTTCTCAAAACAATTAGTACAAACTGCAAAACCTATGATAACCTGCTGCAAAAGCACGTCACATGCTTAAAATGGATAGTTCATTCCTTAAAAGCAAGTATTCATGTCAATCAATGTGTCAGTATCATCAAGATGAAAAGTCCTGACACCAATGTTTATGAACAAGATAGTCTAATGGCTTTGTCATGTTTTCATTACGAGTTTACTCCATGCAAAACAGATTTTGGTGACACTTCCTGAAAAGGCTCTAGACAGCACAAGATACTATTTGCACAGCAACTTGAAAACTACAGTAAAGTTAGACATCACTGCATTTAGTGAGGTATCTGAGTACAAGACACTGAATGTGTATGTTTCACGTGTTTACTGCATTTGCTCGGTGCAGTTTTAGTTTGTTCACAGCATTGTGCAGAAGAATAAACACCCTTATTTACAACCAGGGGCGGACTGGTCAAATGCCAGAAGGGCCGGACCAATTTTTAAATGTGGGCCGGTCAGTTTTTTATTTTATTTATTTTTTATTGTTTTTACATGCAGGCAGCTTTTATCTCTTGCTAGATGTGATATTATGAGGATGATAAATAAAAAACATAAATATTAAAAAAAAAATAATAATAAGGAATAATAATAATAATAAATGTTAAGCATTTGGCCCAATCGGCGACGGCCGCCTAATTTCAAGATGGGCCGACCCAATCCGAGGTTACCCGGGCGTAATCAAAATCTGGCAAGAATGTCATGTTATTTCACCATCTGTACACCAAAATAAATAGTGAATGTGCATGTCCGTGGGTGGGGCTGTGTCGGTGTGGTTATGTGGGCTGATGTGGCTACAGTGCCAAGGCTGAATTTTTGTCCCAGTCCGCCCCTGTTTACAACAAACAAACTTTTTTTTTGGTAGAGCTCTGCACAACTGTAAACAATATTGCAGACCTGGAACTGAGCCTACAACATACACAGGTCTGTAAATCATATATGAAATTGTTCAATTTTTAAGACATTTTTAGGAAAATAAAGATTTAATTTTTTTTTAATAAAATTTGCTTGACATTTTGACAACTGTAGTTCAACATTTTTGTATGTAATGACTCAAGTAATGAATTGAGGACTGTTAGTTTTATATGGAATGACTATTCAGAATCAGCATTCACAAGTTTAGTTCATTTGACTTGACATAACATGACATACATGTTACGACATGACATAAGCAAATGACAATGTTATAAATAGAAGAGGTGTATGAAAGCAATTGATGCATGTCCAAAAGCATTTGCAATTTGTTGGATGGAATGAGAAACTGCTACTAGGATGTGCACAAATGACTAACTATTTTGAGAAATGCATTAACTGTTGTGCAAATGTAAATAGTGTTGTGAGAAATGCACCAAAGCCACTGAGAAAAACTGTAAGAGGTCTGTAACAAAAATGAATCCTTTTTTAACATAATCGTTCCAAAATATGGACTTGTTTTTGAATAAAATATACTGGTTGTTCCAGATAATATATGAGTGGGGGGGAGTTTTGCTTATAAATCAGTTTCCATGTTTTCAAGGCTTGTTAATGAAAATTGGACATCTTTATAGGAATTTTACAACACTTAAAATCATCACAAGTTAGTAAAAAGTGAAGGCCACCACATTTTCAAAGATAAAATTAGGGATAACAGTGTTTAACATTTGTATTATCAGAATCAGTTTTATTGCCAAGTGTGCTTCACACACACAAGGAATGTTTTGGCTACAGAAGCTTCCAGTGTACATAAAGTGTCAACACAAAAATAAATATGAGAAAAAAAGATGATAAACATTAAATAGAGATGCAGTTAGTCAAAATATCTGGATGTTGACTTGTATGTACAGATTTGTTATAAATATACAAATGCGAATGTAGAGAGTATTCCATTGTATATTGATATAAAGTGCTGTGTACAAGAGCATATGAGAAAGTATTGCACATATTTATTGCACAGTTGGGGGATATTTAACTGTTCATGAGGTAGATGGCCTGAGGAACGAAACTTTTCTTGTGTCTGGCTGTTTTTGTGCTTGGTGCTCTGAAGCGCCGACCAGACGGTAACAGTTCGAACAGGTAGTGTGCTGGGTGCGAGGTGTCCAGAGTGATTTTGCAAGTCCTTTTGCTCACGCTGGAAGAGTACAGTTCTTGAAGTGTAGGAAGGGTAGTGCCAGTGATTTGTTCAGCAGTCTGGACTATTCGCTGTAGTCTACGGAGCTCAGTTAAAGGCAGCTAAGACAAACCAGACGGTGATTGAAGTGCAGAGGATGGATTGGATGACAGCTGAGTAGAACTGCACGAGCAGCTCCTGTGGCAGGTTAAACTTCAGGCTTTCTTCACGATAGAGTCTATGAATGTTGTTATTATTTGGGTAAAGCCTAGAAGAGATTGAGCTGCGATTGGAAGTTAACGATAATTTATATTATGCAACAATACGATTACTGTACCACACTAATTACTGTATTTATATTATTTGCTTCAATAACATATTAGAGTCACGAACTTTAAGCATTAAGTAGCCTACACATGAGCTCCTGGATGGAAGAAATATCATATGATAAGATAATGAAGGTGTAATGAAGTGTGTTTGATGGATGCTTCAGAAATCTTCTCTCCTCTGCGGTTTCCTCTTCTGCTCTGGATCTGAAAACGCTTCATTAAGAGTCATAAGAGCGCACATTTTTTCCACAAGAGCAACGCAACATCTGTCCTGAACTAATGCCTGTCCTGCTTGAGGATATAAGAGAGTCAGATGTCTGCGCACACCTACTCATTCATTATTAATATATGTCATCAGTCAGTGTCATCTTAAACAACTTCAACAAGTAGGCTAGTATGCTGAATTGTACAAATTTATCAAACACATGTACAGTGAGGGGTTGTTTTTCCTCAGCTAAAACCGGGGCTTTAGTCAAGGGGAAGGAAATCATGAACAGTTCCAAATACCAGTCAAAACTGTAAACCTTTAGGCTTCTGCAAGGAATCTTTTAGCAAGGCAACAACCCAAAGCACACATCTAAATCAACATTCATTCATTTTCTTGTCGGCTTAGTCCCTTAATTAATCCGGGGTCACCACAGCGGAATGAACCGCCAACTTATCCAGCAAGTTTTTACGCAGCGGATGCCCTTCCAGCCACAACCCATCACTAGGAAACCTATACACACTCATTCACACACATGCATACACTATGGACAATTTAGCCTACCCAATTTACCTGTACTACATGTCTTTGGACTGTGGGGGAAACCGGAGCACCCGGAGGAAACCCACGCGAAGGCAGGGAGAACATGCAAACTCCACACAGAAACGCCAACTGAGCCGAGGTTCGAACCATCGACCCAGCGACCTTCTTACTGTGAGGCGACAGCACTCGTGTTTCGTAATGGCCCAGCCAGAGCCCAGACCTGAATCCAATTGATAATCTGTGGAGGGATCTGAAGAGAGCTGTGCAGAGGAGATGCCCTTGAAATCTGACAGATTTGGAGCAAGAAAAGTGGGCAAATATCAACAAATTCAACATGTGCCATGCATGACAGATAGACGCACACCCTAAAGCAGGTCGCACACCAGAAGTTCGCTCGGTGCCGTGAAATGCAGCGCACATGACAGTTTAAAGTATCACACAACAGACGCGCACATTCGTACGATATTTAACATGAAACTAATCAGATGGCGCTCTGTGGCGCGGCTGAAATATGAATAGCGTCCTGAGTCGTGACTGGGCGCCGGTGTGTGTACGATGATAGAAACCTATGGCTAGAATTCTAAAATGCATGGCGCTGCGTAGCGCTATGCGGCGCATCGCCAAACGGCGCTTCTGGTGTGTGATCAGCTAACTGTACGTTTACACTGAATTCAGCACACTGAATATTATCTGTTCATGATTTCCTCCCCCATGACTAAGGCCCCGGTTTCAGCTGAAAAAAAAAACAACCACAAATGACTAGGGGTATGGTGTTCTATTGGTAATGGGTAGTGTTGTTTTTTCACCAATCATACCTTTAGGAATTTGAAATGTTTAACCTTTGTTCAAGCAGACCAGAACACCTTTTCCCACATGCTCATGGGAGATTTTGAATGTGTTGGCCTTGATGTTTTCCTTTGTATCTTCCAAGATATATGAAGAATTCAGGAGATTTTTGGCCATCTATCCATCCAACCCATCCGTCTATCTATCTGAACATCAGTCTGTCTATCCATCTTTCACACCATCTTTCTGTCCGTTCATGTATCAAATTATTAACCTAATAATAATTAGGTTAATAATAAATAATAATGCACCTATTAGTGCACCTAATGGGCACTAAATATAAAATATTGTCATGAACTTCATGTTTTCCTGCTAATCAATATAATAAATAATACTTGTTTATGTAATAAAGAAACAAAAACAATCAAATGCATAAGACTCATCACAACATTCTGTCTTTATTCATATTATTGCATTCATTTTAAATGACACATCCAGTCACACGACAGCACAGCATCACCTGCACACACACTCTCACACACACAGCAGAGGTGTTTCATTAATGTAGACATTCTCCCAAATAAAGAACATTCTGCGCTGAGACCAGACGTGAAGGACTTACATCGAGGATTTAAAGAATGTGCAAAAGGAGTTTCTTTAAACCCACATACCTTCAACAATAAAGAAAACATTGGATTTGTTTTAACAAAATGGAATTAAAGCATCTTAACATTACCGCAAACACTGCCTTTTGTTCTCTTTGGTCATTTCTCCATCACTGATAAGAGACACTTTTGGTCTGATGCTGACAAATCATTTTCAAGTTTAAGAATCAGTCTACAGCTGTAAAACTATTTAAAACACATCATCTAAAAGGCAGCAAAAGATTCATGAAAACAGAAATATAAAACCCACATCCATAAGGAGGACACACTTCTAAAATACTGAAGCTAAAGGCATCTGGATAATCTAACTCAGACAAATAAAGCCATGCATAACAAACAAATTCACCCATCAGTCAAACCCCATACTCTAGCGCAAGATGCTCAATGTATGTACACAACTGCTGGTAATAAATAGAACTGCTGGTATATTCATGGAAAAACTTGGGAAATAGAGTCCACAGCCCTTGCGAAGAGAGGTGAATACGCTGATAAAGTGGACACACCTTCCCACACATCAGTAGTCAGTTCAGCTCTCCATGTTGGAGTAAGTCGTGGCGTTGATGCCTGGTCTTTTTCTCCCTTTGATCTTCAAAGATCCATATCGTGCCTGTGGTCGGAGAATGACAAGCATATGGAAGCATAATTAAAATCATATATGGAGAAAATCAAAAAGAATAGCAAGAATCGGTTATAATCTTTAGGCTATATGATTGGGTGAGGACTGTAACGAGTAATCAATCAAAACAGAATGGTGAAATTTCATCGCAATGTCATCTGTCACAATCAGCAGCGATCCAGCTTCTGCAGAACGCTGGTAACCATGCAGATCGCTGGAGAACTACAAATCTGCCAGCAAAAGAAATACATATTCAGTCATGCACCACTCACACACCAGGGGCCTCATGTATCAATGCTGTGTACGCACAAAAACTTTGCGTACGCCAGGTTTCACGCTCAGAATCGCTCACGTTTGGATTTACTAACAATGAACTGAACGTGGGAATGTGCGCAGCTTCACGCCAGCTTTCTGGCAGGCGTACGCACATTTTTTGTTCGTGTCTGTTTTATTTCCATTGGCGACTCCTAGAGGCAGTTGTATTAAATTCTTCTCTACAAAGTGTCTGAGCCTTGCAATGGCAGCTGTATGATACGGGTTCATCTAGTAGGTATGTAAGGTTTCCATACCATACAGTTGACCAGCTAAACATTAAAGCACAATTTGCAGCGGTCGCCTGTTTTCCCAATGTAATCTGAGCTATCTACTGCACGCACATTGCTATAAAGACACTATCTGTAGATGAATTTGCATGCGTGAATCAGAAACATTTCCATTCAATAAATGTGCAAATAAAATATGATGCACAAACTTATTGATGATTCCTACTTGTCTTTCTCGTGATAAATAGTGGGCAAAATCTAATATGTAGCGGGGAAAAAAAAGAAGAAAGAGTTCATCAGACGCTGGATTCGAGCCGAGTTTATGCTCGAACGTGTCCATACATGATCACATGCGTCTTACGAGGTGCGCCACAGAGACTGATAAGGGTATTGCAACATTTTACAGATATAAACCACACTATTTCCTTTTTTAATGCACTCAGTGCGATGTTCAGACCCAACTGTTAACCGCATCAGCTAAACTCTCCCACTCTATTTTTTTCTTTTGTTGTTAATTCCGGAGAACAAACTTGCAAATAACACCGCTTTTCTCCGGTCTACCTCAGAAAGCAGCACCTCCATTTCATATTCTGTTCAAAGTTTCTCTTTTTGCTTGATTTTGTCATTGCTTTTTCGTTGGGTTTTGCCATTAGCATAGTCATTAGCATATTCATACGGGGGAGGAGGCAGGGAGGGGTTTTGTGCTCGTGCATGTTGCGCTCAGTTTCACGTTCATTCAGATGTACAAAAGAATATGCATGAGATTCGGCGTACGCAGTGTTTCATACATCTGAATTCTTTTCTGCGTACGCACATTTACAGCTTTGTGCGTACGCAATGTTTTAGTAAGATTTCCACGCAAGTCTTCGTACATGAGGCCCCTGGTCTAGATCCATAGATATCGCATACCTACCCTGAACATGCATCAATTGCGCCGTCACATTTGTACAGTGCTCCCAGCACAAAAGTCATTCAACCGCACTAGTCAAGACAGTGTGCCACCGTGAAGATGCTTGACTTTAGCGCTATGTGGGTGTAGCAATGAGCAAGCAAAGAAAACAACGCACACAGACAGAACATTTCATAGGTAAGATTTGGTTTTGTACGTTTCTGTTTGTTACGAACTTTTGTGCTAAATATTGATAATGCAGTCACTTACTGCATTGACCATAAGGTAACGTAGCACCAACTCACACTTAATACCAGGTTTACGCTTGTTTTGTTGAATAAAATAAGCAAACAATGCAAATGAAATATGATAAGAAATGCTGAGCTGCCATAAACTTGTATTATTGTCAGCTCAGTGAACGAGTCATTATTAATGGAGATTCATTCACAAACGAATCACTCCCTCTGTTAGAGTGAGAAGTGAAAGCAGGAGAGGACGTGTGTTTCAGAACACGGATTAGATCAAATTTAACAGGGAGGGTGGACAGTACATTTCCATCCACACAAACACACGCTCTGTCAGCAATGCCCGCGTGCTCATTTATCCATCAATGTAGAAAAGTAATGTAAAATGATCATTTTCGTTATTTAAAAAAAAAGAAAATCCATAATGACCATCAGGAAAACTCCTGATCATAGATATATGTGTATATCTCTGGCTCTATATGGTCACAGTCCTCGACTACAGCTTGGTCCTGCATTCATTTCAAAGGAGCATTACCCTGTAAGGTTAGGCCGATAGACGATGCCATCATCCATCGCCAATGGCCGAAAGACACCACGATGCTGAGCAGGCATCGCAATACTCTGCCCCGCCTCCGCTGCAAATCCACTCGCGAAAAATACACATTTCATCTTTCATTTCTGGGGAGCCCTTCTTCACAGTACCACTAAAAACCCACATCACAGGACGTGACCACACACACAGGCATAGAGACACACACACTGTCATGTGCTCGAGACAGTGGGTCCAGGCAGTCAGCGGGTCAGTAGACTGGTTCAATCTTTCGCTTTCATGCTTTTACTTAGTAATTTTATTGAAAAGAAAACTTCAGAAACTATGGGCTGGTTTTTGTTGGTTGTGCACCTTTTTTTACCAACCAAGTTTGTCAACGCTATTATAACAACACCGATCTGCCTATTCACGAGTCCCGTGGAAAAAGTGATTGACAGGTGATAATTATGTTTGTAACTTATCTTTGTGTGTAACTATGTGTGTAACTTATCGGGTCAGGCAGTTAAAACGGTAGGCTACAAATAATTAATTTGTTATGAACGATGCCATCGTCCATCGCAATGTTTCATATTAGACATCGTACGATGCCATTTTGGTCGACATCGCCCAACCCTACTACCATGTACAAAAATGGCGGCTCTATTGAAGCATTTCTTCAAATAGACAATAACAGGGTCGATGACATCTAAATGTAAATATCTGTGGCCTAGATCTCTATGATTGCAAATAGACACAGGTGAAGCTGTTCAGGACTAATTACACAGACTATATATACACCTCTCAAACACACACGTTGCAGGAGTGTGGATCGAAATGCAGGTTTATTAACAGGATGGTCAGGCAAGCAATTGTCGCCACAAGAGCAAACAGATGTATACAGGCAAGCCAGAATCAGTGTCGATAAACAGGTAGATGGTCAAAAAGGCAGGCAGGAATAAACAAACAAAACAAAGCAAGGTTCAAACACGGAAGGCAAGGCAAGGAAAATGTGTCGTAATGTTCACTAACAGTACAACAAGACTCAGCAACATGTGTGTGTTTGAGAGGTGAACTAGACATAGTGCTGGTTTCATACTGATTACTTTATCAAACATTATTTGTTTTCAACATGCACTCGCTGCATTTAAAAGTAGACACTTTAAGCTTTCTATAGATATACATCTCATCCCTGTGTGTTTTGTTTTCGTGAGTTTCAGTATATTTTACTGACGAGTTTCTAAATACAGTTCGCGTAGAGAGAAAAGAAAGAAGCACACACTTTGTTGTTATTGTGAGTGTACACAAAAAAGTAGACACCCAACAGATTCGATTGATGTATTGCTCTTATCTGTACTATCAAAACTGAAAGTGTAATTTAAGTTCTTTTTAGCGTTAGCAGAAGAAGACGCCTCAAACCGCGTAAACACGATTGCAGACCCCAGAGGGTAAAATCTGCTAAAATCAGAGTAACTAGAGAATTGTATTATTTCACTTAGTAAAATGTATTTTGGTTGAGCTGTTTTGTTTTTTCTTTTAGAGTATCAAATTAGTGGAATGTATAATTTAATTCTTTTATCTATGTGGGAAACAAATACACAGGACACAAATTAAGATTATTATTATTACTATTATTATTATTGTCTCAAAACAATGTTTATTAAATCAGTGCAATGTGGATTTGGTAGACTTACATCTCTGCGGAGTTTTGAGCGAGTGACTTTAACACTCTGTGATCGTCGGAGTCCATGATGAGACACGGCTTCATCTTCTGAGAACACCGGCTTACTGTCTTCATCACTCCGGTCATCATCATCACCATGATAATACTCTACAAAAAACACACACACACACAAGAAATAAAACAAGATCAAAAATGGCTGATTGTAAAACAATTTCATATGTTCAGTCATTTTCTTGTTTGCGTGATACCAAGTAATAAAGATAACAATACCTAAAACACAGATTTGTCTCTACTTGCATTTTAGCAAGTTAATCTCAACTTAGGGGTAATCTAGCTGGGTTCATACACACTAAATAACCTTTTTCTATTTTTTTTTTTTTTTTTTTTTTTTGCAAATTGAGCAGCATATTTGATCATTTAAAAACATTATATCAACAGCCTCAACAAGCATGAAAAGCAACTGCCGACAAACTGGCAGAAAGACTCATGGATAATAGAAATTAATATGCAACAACCTGAATCTTTAAATCTCTGATAGTCTGTGTGGTTTTCTGCTAACTTTTATTAGTGCATTACAATGTATGTATGGATGTATATATATACATGTATGTGTGTGTACAGATATGCATATGTATGGGCAGATACATATACACATGCATGTATATGTGTATTATTTTCTATAATATTATAGACTGTACATATTCCCTGTATTTATCATGTGTCTGTTTAAGATATGTGTATCTTATGTTTATATGTATGTATATATCTTCTGTTAGTTATTTGTCTTGATTGCAATGCTATTTGTGGGATGGCATGAACGTTGGCACTGCTACGGGATGGGGTGGGTGTTTATTTTTGGGGGGGGGTGGGGGGGGGGTGGGGGGGGGTTGGCTGGGAGGGTTGAGGAGTGGATCTTGTTTTGTTTATTGGAAAGAAAATTGTAAAGATGCTGTGACCACTCACATGTAAAATCAATAAAAATTTAATCACAAAAAACATTATATCACATCACTGCACATAATAATCTGCTCAAGCATTTAAAGACGAACTATTATGCAAAAATAAAACTTATAAGGGGTTTTAACACAACTGTGTGGGAACAGTCTGAATATAGCCAGCTTCTATTGATAAAAATGTATTAAATATATATTTTTATAATAACACTTCATGAAAACAGTCTGGAAAAACACTTTGATTGAAATTCTCCTTCTTCCTTATATTGGTTACAATCTCTCCTTCATTAGCATAGAACAGTAGTCTTGATTTTGAATCTGCCACTATGCTGACACCCAGGCATTTTGTAGCTCCGCCCCTTTTAAAAAGCAAGTTGAGAGCATAACCTCATTTAAATTTAAAGCAACAGTCACTAAAACGGCACATTTTGGATCAAGGCCTAAAAGGGCAGTTTCAAAAAGTCATAAAAAATATTTGTTGGGTATTTTGAGCTAAAACTTCACTTACAGACTCTAGGGAGATTGGAGACTTAATTTACATCTTGTAAAAAGGGCCATAATAGGTCCCTTTTTAATTGTGCATGATCATTTGTTTATTGCTCTGTAATTAGCACTGGTCTGCCCTGTCCACAAAATGATTCAACTTATTTTTGGCTCACGACTGACCAGTGCAGAACCGCTGATCTAGATTATTGAGAAGGGTGGGAATGTGATTTGGGCCGTGGAGAAAGGACAAGCGGGGGGGAAGAGAGAAAGAGAAAGAGCAGCTGCCGGGTTCAGGCCGCTCCTGGCACCATCACCTCTGGGCTCCCTGGGTAGCGCTGGGAGCTAGGCAGAGCCAGCCTGTGCCAGGACGCCCAACAGCATATCCAGCCAGAGCAGAGTCACGGCACACTCCATCACACGGATGATGCCACCAAAAGACAGGCCATAACACGACCATACAGCACTGCACAAAACTGCAGGGTGAATTCTGTCCTCTGTATGAAGTACTCCGTTTCGCCATAAGGGGGCAGAATAGATACGGAGACCAGTGGCAAAGCTTTTCTTTGTTTGTTTCCACACCCACGTCTGTTTTCAATTACCGAAATATAACAACTTCCTTGGGATTTATGAAAGTATGCAATTAATTTTCCTATTCTAGAACTATTCTAGTTCTGTTAAAACCTTGTGCAAGCCAAGCAGAAAGAGCTTTAAAAGCTGACATATATAAAGAAGCAGCTGGCAGGTCTTTGTTATTTTCTTTAGAGTGTTAGCAGCCGCAGTCAATGACATAAGGATAGAAATATTTTTTAGAGTTGACATGAATAAAATTTGAGTTCAGATGCAAACCCCTCCAAATCCATCAGACTTCTTCTAAATGAACATTTTCTACCAATCTCCTCTGATTAGTGTCAGAAGTTTCATTTTATAGGTAATGATAAGGTTATTAGCTAGTAAATAAGAACCTGTTTTTAGACATTTTTGGTTTATATATATATATATATATATATACACACATAAATATATATACATACATACATACACACACATATACACACACACACACATATATATATATATATATATATATATATATATATATATATATATATATATATATATATATATATATATATATATATATACATACAGTTGAAGTCAGAATTATTAGCCCCCTTTTGATTTTGTTTTTCTCATTTAAATATTACCAAAATGATTTTTAACAGGGCAAGGAATTTTTCACAGTATGTCTGATAATATTATTTCTTCTGGAGAAAGGCTTGTTTGTTTTATTTCGGCTAGAATTAAAGCAGTTATTAATTTTTTAAAACCTATTTTTGGGACAATATTATTAGCCCCTTTAAGCTATTTTTTTTTCCGACAATCTACAGAACAAACCATTGTTATACAATAACTTGCCTAATTACCCTAACCTGCCTAGTTTACCTTATTACCCTAGTGAAGCCTTTAAATGTCACTTTAAGCTGTATAGAAGTGTCTTGAAAAACATCTAGTAAAATATTATTTACTGTCATCATGAAAAAGATAAAATAAATCAGTTTTTAGAAATGAGTTAATAAAACTATTATGATTCGAAATGCGCTGAAACAATCTTCCCTCCATTAAACCGAAAATGGGAAAAAAATAAACAGGGGCGCTAATAATTCAGGGGGGCTAATAATTCTGACTTCAACTGTATATATATACACACACACACACACACACACACACACACACACACACACACACACATACATACATACATACATACATACATACATACATACATACATACATGGATGAAAAATGGATGGATTACCCAAACTGGTAATCCAGGTAATCTAGTAGCACACTGACATCTGCTGATTACAAGAGGGCATTGCAGATAAAAAAAGCATTAACAAAAATAAATAAATATTTATCATTTGTCAGTGTGGATGCATTTATTTATTTATTCATTCATTTATTTAGTGTGCATGATGTTATTGGACCTTAATTATTACAAAATTTCTTGTCAAATAAAAATTGTGAACATAACCTAACTTTGTCAAAATGTAAACAAATAATAATTATTTCTAACTTTTGGTTGTGTAAAAGCAAGTCTGTTAAAATCATTGCAGTACTCACAATGTTCCCTTAATTCATACTGCTAGCGCAACAATTGCGAACACATGCATTCAAAAGCACAGCTCTACTCAAATATCAGACCCCCCCCCCCTCCTTACCACTTGTATGAATATGACTGGCAGTGGAGCATAAAAATATACACAGGCGTGTTTTATATCATGCCTGTCATTCAAAGCTGACCTCTTGTTTCTTTGGAAAGAAAGCAAAGCCCCACATTAAAGGATGGGCGAATAAATAACACACTCGAGCCCCTCTCTTTATAGGCTACATCCCGTTTTTAAATTCAAACCGCAATTAGCAGCTCGTTTGATCAGTCGGGATCTTTCACCTTGGCTTTGAGCCTGTGGAAGGGAATGCCATTTTGGAAGAGCTGGCTTTCTGATGGCTTCATTGCAAACGAGATGAAAATGACCTGGATGCCGGCGGAATTTCAAACGCGGCGGGCGCATTAGCATACCGAGATAGAAGCACATTAGGTATTCTGCTCAGAGGCTCCCTGAGCTGTTTTTTCCTCTTCTTCATCTTCTCACAAAGCGGCACTAGACCTTTCATGCTAGGAACGTGCCACTATTACTTATTACCCTTCTGTGCTTGAGACAAACACCAAATCCATTCCATTTGCTCCAAAACCGGTTAGCGCGGCGGTGCTTTCTCAGAAGCGTGTGAGATTTGGTTGAGATATCATTATGAAAGCTCTATGGCTTTACTCACGCTACTGAACATCTTTACAGATGCCTTCTCGGCTCCCGCTAGCTGTGTTTGCTGGAACACAAAAGCTTTGTATGAAACCTCGACACGCTGCCTTCGCAGGCGACATAAAAGTGCACCCAAATTCTCTGTTTGCATAACGCACTGTCTACTAAGGTTTCATTTGGTTTATGAAGGCAGCGTTGGATGTATTCTTCACTCTCTATGATGTGCAAAAAGTGAGAGCGGCAGATGGCTGAAAGAATAAACATGGCGTCTGATAGAGCAGTTATTTCATAAACATCTATCGTTTCATCTTGTTATTGGCTTACTACTGGTTATGAAGCATTGTCATGATTAAATATTTGTGTGATTGCCTCTAAATCTCACTTGAATTTGTTTGGAATCATTAGACGTGGAGTTACAACATGTTAAAAGTAGTGAATGATGGAATTTTTTTTATGTCAGATGATTACATTTTATAAAGTAAATAACATGCATAACAATGAAATAAAGCATGATGCAAAAACGTTTTTAAACATAACAAACGTGTGAAGTAAACAATTATATTAGTCCTGGGCAAAGATTAACCATGATAAATCACATCCAAAATAAAGTTTTTTTTGAGATAATATACGTTTGCGTATTGTGTTTGTTTATTTATTATTTATTTATTATATATAGTCATGTATACATTTGAGAACATGTTTATTTATATTTATTTATATAAAATATGTGTAAATGATACAAATTATTTATAATTTTAATTAGTTATGTATCTATATTGAAAATAGGTTTGTTTCTATGTAAATTCTATGAAATTCCAAAAATCTGTTGTCGTTCATCCCCTAATACAGACATCCATACATATCTATCTATCTATCTATCTATCTATCTATCTATCTATCTATCTATCTATCTATCTATCTATCTATCTATCTATCTATCTATCTATCTATCTATCTATATATATATATATATATATATATATATATATATATATATATATATATATATATATATATATATATATATATATATATATATATATATATATATATATATAAATAATGTAGCCATTTAATTGCAACAAAATTTCTGAGATCATGAAGAAGAAAAAACTGTACACACACTTAATATGACATGAATATCACAGAACAGCCAAAGAGCATAGAATCACCAAGAGGCGACACTCTAGTACAATTTGGGAAACAGCCACTAGATGGCGTGGCGGCAATTTTGGAAAGAAAACTCCAATAGAACAACAGCATATTATAAGTCTGTAAAATAAACTATTAAAAGTGTTGTATTGTCGTCTTTCAGGTTGTATCAGCTTTCGCGACAGCAATAAGATCCAATGGACAGCCAACTGCTTTCACTCCAAAATGGCAGAATCTGGCACTGTTGCTGGGCGCTGCTGTTGTAATGGAACGTTCTACTGAGTGTTGCTTTTTGGTCACTCTAAGCTCTTTGGCACAGCATAGTTGGATAATAGGACTGTTTACATCCAAATCTGCATTCTCACCACTGTCAAAATAAAAGCCCTGGTCATTATTTGGGTCAACCACTAATTAAACGCCACAGTGTTTTGTCATCTTGTTGCGTGTTTCTGTCACTTGCATTGTTTTATTTTATTTTTCAAATGTTTAAGTTGTTTTCTTTTAGTTATTTTTCTTGTATTTTTATTAACTTTTTTTTGTTTTCAGCTTGCAAATATGATTTCAACCTCAAAACTTTTTTTTTTCTCCAATTAAGTATAATAACCCTGTCTGGAACAGCAGCTTCATAAAAAAATGCCGTCTGTCAAGTTAGTGAATGAATAGGGAGAGCGAGGCATCTGCCTTCTGTTGTGGACACAGCTGAGAAACAACAGAGCGAAAGGAAACAAAGGATGGTGTGTTAATAATTAATCGGAGAGGTAACACTTACCAGCTCCATCGGGCTGGTCCATGATGGCTCTTCTGGCTGGGTTGGAGGCGTATGACGAATAGCCGTCGTCTTGTGGGATCTGGGTAAGGTCGTGCATGCTGAAGCTCCTTAGCTTCTCTGTGATGGCACCTTGACCCTGTAGAAACAAAACAGCCCTCGGTTACGATAAACATGTCAGAGCTGACAACACACAGACTGCATGAACATCCATGATGATACCATCACCACATGCATGCATGGATGAATAGGTGCTGAAAAGATTTGGCTCTGTTCCAAGTGACCTGTTACCTAGTAAACGACCCTGTTGAACCACCTCCGGAACAAATCAAGCTCGTCGTGGCACTGTTTTTATTGCAGTAGGATTGGAATTAGCATCTCAGCAGTTCATTTTTAAATCAAACTTTAATGATTGGGTACAGAAACAAGGTGCTAACTTAGCTATGGTATTTGTATCACTTGTGTATGTATTCGGATTGAATAAGAATGCAGATTGGGGTGCTATTTAAATGTATGATGTGAATTGATATCAAAGGCACAGGAAGTTGGGATTGTTTCTCTATATGAAAAATATCAATAGTTTACATCTTAATTTACTAAGCTAAAAACAATATAACTGTAGTTGGCGGTTTGTTCCACTGTGGCAAGTCCTGATGGATCAGGGACTAAGCCGAAGGAAAATGAATGAATAATATAACTGTAATTATTGTTAAACCTTGTAACTGTAGATATTTTTCTATCTTCTAACTATAGAAATGATGTATGAGCAGCTCCCAAATGTGCTTTGAATTGTTTTTGCGCACAGTACTTTAATATATATGTAAACCAATAGTCAGCATTGGAAGCGAATCAAAATTGTTTTTCAAAATTGTCCAAGGACAAGGATGATTGTTCAATAGTTTTAGGACAACTTTCATGAAAGGTGATGATCCAATTCAAATATTGACTATTGTACAAATTAGGGATGTTAGTAAGCAAGTAATGTATATGTATATAGTGCATTTATCGTGTATGGCCATACACCCAAAGCACTTCACAACCATGGGGGGGGGTCTCTCCACACCACCACCAGTGTGCAGCATTGACTTGGATGATGCAACGGTAGCCACAGGACAACGGCGCCAGTGCGCTCAAGACCCTCAATACTTATTTGTCCTGCTGTATCTCAATAGAAATCCTTGCTATTGTTCACATAAATTGAGCCACATTCCTTCCACAAAGTGAAAGTGTGCTCTATTTATTGCTACACTATTAAAACGGCTGGTTTTCTTCTGTTAAATTGACCACAATATAGGCAGCTAAAATTAGTTGGTTTATTTAAAGGGCACCAAGGTTACCCCTTTTTTCAGATTTAATATGAGTCTTTTGTGTCTCCAGAATGTGTCTGTAAAGTTTCAGCTCAAAACACACATCGGATTTTTTATTATACCTTTTATAAGTTTCTATTTTATACATTATTGCACCAGGTGACGGTTTTGTAGTACTGCGCCTTTAAGGCTAGTCCTCCCCGCCCACCGTTTCTACGTGCCTTTCTGCGTGCCTTAATCTCCTCCCTCGGCTGCGTCAGACAACAGACAGACTTAAAGGAAGTAGATCTCACGTAGCGTTTGTGAGAAATACTACAGTAAGACAGAACTTTACTGATGAGTATTTGATGCATTTGTTGTGGAGTTGCAACGATGAGTCATAAACAATGTCGTTACAAAGTTCACGTGCACGCACACAGATACAGACAGACAGAGCATATTTAGCTTTGCACTGTTTTGCACGCAATTGTGACAGGATACACATTAATCTCCTCTGGTGAATGGATATCTGTTATGTTAATGTACAAAATAAACCTGATTTAACGTTCACAAACCGGGATTGAATCGTCTTCTTTTATAATTGACACGCGGCTGTGCTGATAAAGTAAATCTGAGGTAAATCATTGTAACTCATTATACACGTGCACTGTTTTAAAACATCTTAAACTTGTAAAACTCACTCTTGATCACATTTGATGATGATTGATGATCCTAGCAAACTGAACAGACCTTTTATTCCCGGTGGCTTTGCGCACGTCCTGTCTTGTTGATATGATTATGCATGTGACTACCAGGACATGTTAATACGCAGCTGTCAATCAATTTGGTGGGCGGGAGGACTGCACTCCTACATCAAGTTGCGGTCGGTCCGTAAACCGCACCAATTGGTCCACTGTTTTTATGTTGTTAAATAAATAAAATAAATAGGACTAGGTGTGTTTATATCACCCCAGTATGACGCTCTATACATTATACCTACACATATGTCTGTCCAAACAGCTTGAAAAGTAGATTTTTTACCATAGGTGCCCTTTAATTAATAACTTGGATTTGGAAGAGAGCTTACATGAACAAAATATCAAATCAAAATAAAAACATTCCTTGGAAAGAAACTTTTTAGCACATTAGCTCCACCCGAAAGCTTAGGCAATGGACTTGTTGCTTAGCTCCCTTAACAGGCAGTGAGTGACTCTGGAGCACGAGGTTTACCTCGTAAAAGGCATTTCAGACAAACCTCAGAGAGCGCATAACGTTTAATTATGTACAACTAAATAGAGAGAGCTTTGGTGATAAGTAAGGGAATATTTGCTTACTACAATAGTAACTACTCGCTTGAAATGCTATAGAAAATAGAAGAATTTGGAAAAAAAAAAAATGGAAAAAACGATACATTTACACAAAACCATACACAAGCAGCACTTCGAAATGCTAGGTTTACTTTTTTTTAAGATCAAATGTGAGAAATATAACTCACAGGATTGTGGGACACCATAAGCTGCAAAGGACACATCTATGCTGCCTTTAAAAATCAATCAGTAAATATCTCCCGTCCTGATCTAGGAAGTGTAGGAGAATTTGGATTTGGACATACCTTGATGATTCCCTGTCTTAAAATGGAGCCTTCAAGCTTTCAGGCGCAGCCAATGTTTTAGTATAATTCTAACTTAGTGCTCATCACAATATTTGAGTCAACGAAATTTAGAAAATGGAGAAAGGAAATCATGAGTTAAAGTATGTTAAATGATCAAGCTTTTCCACATGCTGTAGACGCTCTATGGATTTACCTGCACTGGAGAGAGCAGGGCTGCAGTATTCCTATAGGGCAGTACATGTCAGTACAAGGTAACAAAAAGATCAATCACCAAAGATAGAATTTCACAAACAAGATGAAAACCTGCCAAAAAGAGTATAAAAGGAGGTATGATGGGAAAAGAATAGTGTCCAAGAATAAAGATTGACAAGTTCTTTCAAAAGCTCATTGACTTCAATTTAGCGACATCTTTCATTGATGGCATCCTCCGGGCAGGGCAGTGCCAAATGAAAACTGGAACACTGTTGAGCATGTTCTGCTTCTGATTAGAAAATCAGGACGATTACATTTACTACTGCACTAATACTAATGGCCTTGGGTTAGTTTCACAAAGGAACGGTGACCTTTGCTTGAAAAAGAATTCATTAGTATGTCATTTATTGCTGGTACTGCAGGTTTGAGCCAAGGCACTTATGCTTTTTGTTGCATAGAAGGGAGGGAAAAGGAAAGAGGCTAAGAGTGGTTAAAACGAGACAACATTTGTAAAAAATTTCCTTTTAAAATGGGATGTACACTAACATTATCTTTAAGCTTTTTTTTTATTTTGTTTTTTTGTAAAATTGATAATTTAAATGTCAAATTGTGAGAAAGGACTATTTTAAACAGTAATTAAATATTTTAATATTTTTTGTTTTTGTAATGAAACTAATTAAAGTGGTCAATTTATGAGAAGTGACCAATTTAAAAACAGCAATTTAATGTTTTATTTATTTTTTAGGTTCATTTTTTACTAAATTAATTATTTAAAGTGGTCAGATTGAAAAATGACAATTTTAAAACAGCAATTTAATGTACTAATTAAATCTTTTAAGTAAATATTTTTTATTAAATAATTATTTAAAATGTCAAAATGTAAGAAAAGAAAAATAAACTAAATGTATTTTTTCTTATTAAATAAATTACTTAAATTGGTCAAATTGAGAGAAATTACAATTTTAAAACAGCAATTTATTGTTTTAATAAATTTTTTAGGTTTATTTTTTCATTCATTCATTTTCTTTTCGGCTTAGTCCCTTTATTAATCTCTGGTCGCCACAGCGTAATGAACCGCCACTACCTACTGTGCCACTGCGTTGCCCAGGTTTATTTTTTATTAAACTAATTATTTAAAATGTTCAAATTGTGAGAAATGACAATTAATTTATTGTTTTAATACATTTTTGTATTTTTTTTAATGTTATTTTAAGTGATCAAGTTGTGAGAAGTAACAAAATTTTTAAAGCAGCAATATAATGTTTTATTTAATTTATATATTTTTAGCAGTCATTTCTCCTTCTCTTTGCACAGGAAACATTATTACTATTAATGAAAAACAATAATATAACAACTACCAGGTCATGAAATGTTTTTTTCTTTACAGCGTTCTGTGGTCTAATTTTAATGGTGGCAAGATATTGGCCACAATACATATCTTTTATAGATATTTCCAATCAAACTGAATAAAAGTATTAATGTAATAAATATTACCACAAAAAAACATAAGATGATCTTTATCCATGAAAAAAGATATAAAATGTAAACATTTCAAATTAATAATGGCAGACCTTGGAGCAATTTTGCAAAAGATTACGGAGGACTATACCCTCTCAAAGAACATTGACATCCGCTTTTAAACAGAGTAAAGCTGATAAAGCTTTTATTCCAAGGCTTAAACATGCAGTATTGACATAACCTTTTTACACTAATGTCAAACACATTACTTTCCTGTGCTCAATATTAGCAAGACATAAAAAAGGCTGTGTTACTGACAGTGTTGGCATTTAAAAAAGAAATATAAATCTATTTGGCAATCGGTAAACAGTTTTATACAAAGATTAAGTTATTACATCATGATGAAAGACCATGAAGAGAAATACTTTTGTTTGCTTGTTTTTTAAATAACATGACTTGCAATCACCCAGATTAAATATATCAGAGGCAAATATAAGTGAATTGTTTCTAGGAGCTTTAACTTATTCCGTTTGTCCATCTTCAACTCACACACACACTTGCCTTGACAGCAGCAGACACAGCAGCAGTTGCAGCGATGGTCAGGCCCTGTTTGCCGAAGTTCACCATAGTCTCATAGCTGCGCTCTTTGGCTTGGACTATGTAGTCGTCAATTTCCTTCAAAAACATTAGGACAAGATTGAGAACTCAAAAAAAAAACCATCATCAAATAATAAAATATAAACCATATTTGCAAAATAAGGAAAGGTGGTACTAGACCACTGTTTTTTTCCTTTAAAAAAAAAAAAAAGAACATGGCATGCTCTCCAAAGGGGCTGATCACACCTAGCATTTTAGCCCTTGCACGTGTTGCGCTCAGGGTTCAAAAAAATTCAACTCTGAGCAGAAAACGCGTGTTACGTACCTCACGTCTTTTTCATTTTCCAATCAAATGAAAGCATTGTTTGTGTTGTCAAGACAACAACAGAGATTTTTAAAGATGGAGGAGAGTTGTGGTTGCCATTTTGAGTTGTCCAGAACTGTCAGATTTTACAAATCTTGAATATCACAATATTATTAAATATAAAATTATATTAATATCAACAGCAACACTCACACAATACCCAGCCTAGCGGCATAATACGCACCGTGCTTCTTTTTTTCTTGTCAACAAAAAAGGCAGTGCGGTACAACATTGCGTTTAAGAAACGTTAATGCGCATTCGATGTGATCAGCCCCTAACTCCTAATCGATGATTATTAACAAAGGCTATGCATTTAATAGATCATCTCATTTCATTCGCAATTATACTGAATACTAAGGGTGTAACAGTACTAAGGATGCAACAATGAACCGATTTCACTATTAAACGTGTTTAATTAGTCACAAATGATTTAATTCGTCACGTTAATTATTTTAAGGTTTTTCAACACCGCGTTTCTGCATGGAACTAAACTTCTACAACTAAACAATGTTATGCCAACTGTGTGCTAGTTTAGAGTTCCAGGCGCAGCGCGAGTCAGGTTCTTGTGCACACGGTGCGGACGCCTTATGACGCACTCACGCTTTCTAGGCCACCTAGTTGAAAGAATGTTGTGAGTGCACCACAAGTCATGTGACGAGAGCTGACCGATGAACTTTATACTTTGTATGAAATATAAACATTTCTACTACAAGGAAGAAAACAAAATGAAAAAATAACAAACAATTTTGTAATTTAGTTGATTAAAAGTGCCTTTCAGACAGAGGTTCATCAGCCTTAGAACCTTTAAAAAGAAAATACTTAGCTAACATGTAGCTTAGATTTATATTAGACAAATACTATTCTTTATTTATTCTTATTTTTATTGTTTTATTCATTGTTATGTAGTTTAATTTTAGTGTAAAACTATTATTTATGTTTAAATGCCAAAAAACGTATTTTCACTTATTTTTAAGTCCAAAGAGAAATTGACTATTGCTTGCTTTTAATATTATTTTGTGTTGTATTATTTGGTCACTGATCAGCAATAAATAACATTTTAAAATACGAGTTTTCATGTAATTTTGTGATTGAACTAGTAGTGTTTTGTAATTAATAAATGCATGATAATCGGGATAAAAGTGATTTTTCCTTAGACTATAATTGTACAACCAAAGTCTATAATCGTTGCATCCCTAATAAACACAATTCACAATTCTTTTTTGGGATAACTTGACGGTTTTATGTTCAATCCACTTAAATTAGTTTGTTTGTTTAGATTTATTAATCCCAAAGGGAAATTCACATCACAGAAGAGCTCACCAAACTATAAAATAAATTTCATATATAAAAAGGCAATAATAATAATAATAATAATAATAATAATAATAATAATAATAATAATAATAATAACAATAATAATAATAATAATAATAATAACAATAATAATAATAATAATAATGATAATAAACATCCATACTTCACACTTTAGTTTCAAACAACTAGTAGAAACTATATTTGTAAAAACAATTAAGTTAACCTAACTTATTTGGGTTGGGACAACATGGATGACTTGTGTGGAACCCAGCATTGGTACAGAGTATGCAGTAAACAACACAATTTGCTGAAATTCTGTGAATTAAACTGCCAATCCAAAAAAAGTAATGCTAATCAAATGGATAACACTTGTCTCTCTATTGAACCAAAATGATTAATTGTACTTATACCACATTTATGTGGAAAAAGCTTGGTTATGGGTGCGACTTATGTGAAATTGTTAATCAAATAATAGTGTTTTAAATCATTGACAGACATTTTTGGAGTATCTGTGCAGTACAGTAAATTACAAGAATACACAAACAACTTAGAAATAGCTTCGCTGATTTTGTGAAAACCTTAATTCTGTCACAGCAAGCTGATATCTTTATGGAATTGCTCAAGGCAGATCAAGATGACCTGTACTTGAATTGTACTGCTCAGCAGGAAAATGCGTAACATTTAACACCTGCTGAAAACAAGCTCTTTGAAAACAAGTGTATTAAGAGAAAGACAAAAATAAAGACAAGATTCACCCTTTCTTTGGACGACAGCAAAGGATGAAGGGCTTTTCTGTAGATGACACTAGCTCCTCTTGTGTAGGGAGACAGAAGCCAGATCACAAAGGCAATCTTGATCTCGTAATAAAGGGGAAACCTTCAGATCAGAGAAGAGAGAGAGAGAGAGAGAGAGAGAGAGAGAGATAGAGAGAGAGAGAGAGGACCCACGTTACAGTCGATTAATCATCTGACATAATTACACTCATTAAAGCTGTATTCCGACAAATTAATTTGCGCTACACTAAATTAAAACGGCAACTTTGTTTCATTAAAGCCTGATTGCTTCCCTGCATTTCTTGGTCTGGGGAAACAAACAACAAGATCTTCAATGAAACAGCTCGCTTCTTTAGTCTAACATGAATCACTTGTAATCAGGTAACTGCAGCAGTGGTGTGGGGGAAGACTCAAATCAGGGAGACTCACCAGGCTATGGTTAGATCTGCGACCGTCTCCACTACTGTAAACAAGGCAAAGACAATCCAGTACATCATCCATCGTACCTGACAAAGACAAGAAATCATGTCGAATATTTAAGACAAACCCACAAACAGATGAATACATGAATGCACTTACATAAAAATAACTAATGACTTCTGTGCGACTTATACCAGTAAATAAATAATCATTATAAATATTTTTAAATACATGTTACCACAAAGATAGGTTCACATATACACTTTCAACTATCAAACAGTAAATATATTTTTAGTAAGCTACCTGACAAATGTTTTGTCTCCTATCCAAATTTTAGGAACAACAAATAATAACTTGGCTTCTAGTTGATCATTTGGTATTAGAAGTGGCTAATATGAAAGGCAAAGGTCTCTAGATTAGGCTCATTTTACCAAAATAAAATATGATTATGCCTTGATTTTTAATGATTTAATTAGGACAGTAAGGTTTGACCTTGCTGAGACAAGTCTTGTCACTTAACAGAAATAATGTACAGTATAGAATAAAAAGTCATGGTGCAGTGGGAAAAGATTTAATATTGTGTATGACTCCCATGAGCTTGGGCGACTGCATCCATACATCTCTGCAATGACTCAAATCACTTATTAATAAAGTCATCTGGAATGGGAAAGAAAACGTTCCTGCAAGACTCCCAGAGTTCATCAAGATTCTTTGGATTCATCTTTAATGCCTTCTCCTTCATCCTACCCGAGACATGCTCAACAATGTTCTGGATGTAACCCCAAACCATGATTTTTCCTTCACCAAACTTGACTGATTTCTGTGAGAATCCTGGGTCTATGTGGGTTCCAGTAGGTCTTCTGCAGTATTTGTGATGATTGGGATGCAGTTCAACAGATGATTCAACAGAAAAATCTACCTTCTGCCACTTTCCCAAATGATCAACTAGAAGTCAAGTTATTATTTTCCGCTTTTACAACTGCAATCGAAAACAAGATTTTTGTCAGGTAGTGTATGTTAAAACGAAGTTCAACAACTGGGCTCCTAAAGTAAAAAAGGGTATTAAGTTTAATTATTAAGTGTTCTAGACCAGTGGTTCACAAACTTTTTTTCCTCAAGTACCACCTCAGAAAAAAATTGTCTCTCCAAGTCCCACCAAAATGAGCAGTTTTGAAATACAGTAAAGTAGTAGGCCCAGTAAAGCAGCTACAACTCTGCAAAGTTAAAAAAAACGTGGCAGATTACCTCAGAAATATAGGCTATATGTCATTTATGGCATATTATATACATCATTTTTGTTAAATTTTGAAATGTGTGTAGCATATACATGACATATTTAATTCCTCCGCGTACCACTAGAAGGAAGCCTGCGTACCACAAGTGGTACACGTACCACAGTTTGAGAACCGCTGTTCTAGACAAATCAACTATGAGCAACAAAATTTAAAAGTGATGATTTTTTTAAGGATTTAGGCATAATTTTAAAGCTTATTTTTTAAAACTAGATTTTTTTAAACAAGCCAGGATTCTGTAAATATACACTACTGGTCAAAAGTTTGGGGTCAATTTTATTTTTAATATGTTTTTTTTTTTTGCTTTTTTAATCAAGGCGGCATTTATTAAATGTAAAAATTACTCCAGTTATTACTGCTTTTATCACTATTACCATTAATATTAAAAAGAAGAAGAAAAAGAAGAAGAAGAAGAAGAAAAAGAAAGAAAAATTAGTATTAGAGTAATTTCTAAAAAATTATGTGACTCTGAAGACTGGAGTAATGAAGCTGAAAATGAATCATTATAATCAATAATAATTGATTAAATTAAAAGTTGAACTATTTTTAAACAGTTGTTTTATAGTACAACAAAATTTTACAATTTTACAATTTATATTGCAATAAATGCAGCTTTGGTGTGGAGGAGAAGCTTATTTTAAAAATTTAAAAATCTCTATTTTAAAACATTTTAAAAGACTCCAAACTTTTGGTCAGTACCTAAAGTTCACATCCAATTCCATGAATCAAGGTGGACCATGAAGAATAACAAACCTTTTACAACTCAATTTTACAATTAATTTATAATTTTGACATTCTGAAAGTTATGATTCTAAACACCTAAAATAAAATAAAAAACTGATGACAATTGCTTAAATGGAACAAAAAAAAAAAAAAAAGAGGAAACAATGGTTTACACTAATCTTCAATGACAAACGAGGATCTATCAATAAAATGTGTCTGAGCCACATAACATTTTTTCAAAGGCTTGTGCACTAGTAAACAAGTCTAGTATGGCCCTGGGCAAGATTCTGATGTGTGCAAACTGTACCTTACGATCCCATGAGGTCACGAGAGTGCATTTGTGAATAGCAGTAAAGTGACACAATTGACCCTGGTATGTCACATGACATTCACACTACAAAGAGCATACATATGTTGACAGGTAGCCAAGACAGCCTTCACATGGAATAACATGAAAGTGATTGCAGTTTATAATGTAAAAACTAGAAATATTTCTGTAATAAAAGCACATTGATCCGCTTTATAAGATATGCGTAACCTCCGGGGTTAGTTTTTCGACTTATTTATGTGCTTTTGGTAGCTTCAAAATAAAAGCCACTATCCAATTGTCCTCTGTAAAAAAAAAAAAAAAAAAAAAAAAAAAAAAAAAGTTAATTAACAGTTTCTGTATGTTGTGGTTCACAAGTGTTTTAAGTTTATTTATTAATCCCATTATGGGACTTTAATCTCTGCTTTGTTGACTTTTGATGTTGAAAAATCAACAGTTTAACAAAGTGGCTTTTATTGACATTTTAGTAGTTTAAAATGATGCACAAGAAATAAAAGATAGTGAAATACGTTTGTAAAACAACAGAAAAAGTACTGCCAGTTTATAACCAGATTTTTGTACCATAATATACAACACCAACACAGATAATTTAACACTTTAAACTAATCTATCTGGCAGCCAGCTCTCTGCAACTTTCAATTCCACGCCCACTGAAGCCTAGTAGGGCTGCGCCTGGTCAGTACCTGGCTGGGTGACCAAATGGGAAAGCTAGGTTGCTGCTGGAAGTGGTGTTAGTGAGGCCAGCAGGGGTCCTAATGCCCTAGTATAGTGACAGGGACTTTATACTGCTAAGCGAGCGTCGTCTTTTGGATGAGACGTTAAACCAAGGTCTTGACTCTCTGTGGTCGTTAAAAATCCCAGGATGTCCTTCGAAAAAGAGTAGGAGTTTAAACACGGCATCCCGGCCAAATTTGCAAACTGGCCTCTGTCCATCATGACCTCCTAATATTCCCATACCATAATTGGCTTCCTCACTCTGGTGTGTGGTGTGCGGTCTGGCGCAATATGGCTGCCGTTGCATCATCCAGGTGGATGCTGCACACTGGTGGAGAATGAGGAGATTCCCCCAATGTGTAAAGCGCTTAGAGTGTCCACAAAAGCATTATGTAAATGTAAGGAATTACAAATTGTTATTATTTTTGTATTATTAATATTATTTACTTTTTCCAACTTTTCAAGGGTAAAAGATCAAATGAAAGATCAATGTCCAATAATGCAATTGAATAGCATAAATACACAGTAAAAAAATAAAAACATGGAGTTAAAATAAGAAAAACTGCTAATTTAGATATTTTTCCGTAATACAAAAGAAGAAAATAATCATGTACACCAATGATTGTTTTTTATAATTGAGTAAATTATGAACAGATTTTCATTTCACTTCTATCTTAAGGAGCACTATCGAGATGTGAGAAGAAGTTCAACCAACATAACAAAAAAAAAAAATCTCGTATAATGTAGAACAGTTCACCTACAGACAAGGCCGGCAGATGCGTCACACTCGCCCAAACTAAAAACACCAGGAAGCATGCAAAAGAATATTAAAACAAAACCCATGCATTTTTTCTCTTCAGTACACCGAACGCATAATCTCTCCACACTGAGTGCTTCGCTAACACAAATCCAAGTGCGCCTCTTTTCCTAGGAGGAGACGGAAACACAGTCGAGTGTAACAAAAAATCATTATGGCCGTGACATTAATTTCCATCCCAGCTCTCTCTGTGTGTATGTGTGTGTGTCTGCAGCAGGACCTGTTTGGTATGCTCTACCTCTCCTCTGCTCTCAACCACAGCGAGCTTTCAGCCGGCTTCTTAGCATTTCAATTTCAAACACCCGTGCAGACAGTCATGTGATCCCCAGCCTTGAGCTGCAGCTCTCCGAGGTATTAGGTGATATTTTCAGCCTCGCTGAACAAAGTCAAATGAATCCATGCAGAGGCAGCATTACCAGCCTGACAGGAGGCGTCAGATTTAATTGGTGTCCTCCCAATGAACCTTCAGCGGTCTGAGAGAGATCAATGCGTTGCATCAGCCGCAGTAAAGCTGCCGCTCCGTGACAAACCGTCAATCGAAATCCACCAGCGGTGATCTTTTCAGCCAGCCGGAGCGCTGACCGCATCGATATGAAAAATCTAACTACGTCTAGAAGTCAGACAATCCCATTTATTACAAGTCTGCAATTATTACCTGGCTTCAATTAGGCAAGTATGTAAGATGTAAACAGTTCTGCTTTGTTCTATCTTGCAGCGCGATTCAAGAACGGGCAGGCGCCCAAGACAAGCATGCCTTTCCTGTTCAACGCTGCATGTGGATAAGAAGTTGTATAGCCTGGATTTCCAATGAAAAACCTTTGAAGTATCCTGATTGTGAATGGACGTACTCCTTTCCTGCTCCGTGTGTGTGTACCGTGGAGTGGTTTCTTTGTTCAACATTAAAACTGAGCAGCGAGACATATGAGCTGAGCCGCTCTGTTTATCTAACAAACAGGAGTTGTAGGCATTGTACAGATTTGCTCCGGGTGGAAAAAATAAAAGCCACACTGTGGTTTCTAAGAGCATCCAGTCTATGCGAGCAAACACAGGCTTTGTCAAGCTGCCTTTAAACTTTATTTTAACTCCAACATAAACCAGCAGCTCCAGTCGACCGGGCCTATAAAAAGGCTTGCAGCACAAAGCATCGCTTGTCCGGTTCTATTTTGAAAATGATTTCTCAATTACCCGTCTGCGCTCAAAGGCGAAAGCAAAAACAGTTATGACATGTTTCCAAAAAAGCTGCTTTTGTGGTCTTCTTTTTTCCAAGGGTTTGCTATTAAAAGGCTAAGTTTACCTAAATTGACTTTCCGCTAAAACATTCAGGAACATTCAACGTTCTAGCAAAGCATATAAACATCCGTGATCTTGTGCTGCCAGCGTCTGCGCTCCTGAGCCGAGCAATCCTGCTACCACTGTTTACATAAACGTGTCCTTATACTGCGTAATTCATCTCTCCACAGATCAAATATGTCACCGGCTTAACAATAATGTTAGCCTGATGGCTGGTTTCGCAATGATTCAGACCAGCGTGTAGGTTAAATATTAGTACATCAAACATGGGACTTAATTGACAGAACTGCTTATTATTAATCTTTAACTTCACATTCAAGTTGTACAAATGTGGAAATCTGATGCTGTCCTCACCCTTGAAATGTAGGCTAGAGAACTAGGAAATATGTTACACTTAGAGGAACTAAGATTCACACTAAGGGCGTACTCACACTATGTACAGTAGTCTTGAACATGGCCAATGCATGCTTTTCCCTCCTCTTGTCTCCCCTGATGGCCCGCACTCACATTACATTCGGACCTGGGCACACTTGCGTCATCGACGATGCACTGTTCAGTAAGAAGTGCTCTCGCTCAGCTGAGTGGAGATTTCTTTACTTATATTGTTTTAGTCGTTTGGGATGCAGTGACAAGCAGTCAAATATTTTGCCGAACAGATCAACCATTTTTGACGCTTATAAACAATCATTAAGTCCTCATGCTGCATGAATTAGGAGGTTAGCTGAAGGTGCAGCTGTCTTGCAGTGAGGGGTTTGCGTCTTTAATAAACTACAACAGTTTGCAAACATTGAACAATAAGAATGATTAATAAACCCATATAAAATAGGCCCTTAAAAGTCACGTCTCGCTTTCAGGCTCAGGCGTGTTTTGAACTCACAAACAAGCATACTACGCCATAGCCCAAGTGAACCGCACTCTGGCACACCTCTTCCAACCGGGCCAGGGCCGGCCAAGTGAACCGTGCCTGAGCCCGATTAAAAGCACTTACACTTCTAAAACGATCCGGGAAACGGGCCTGGGCACGGTTCAGGTAGCATAGTGCGAGTACGCCCTAAGTAACAAATTGTCCATTTTTAACAAGATTTGAGAACCATTTATACTTTTGAAAGTATCTACTTACATACTTCTGAAATGATACAGACTTTAACAAGACTACTGCATGTTAATTAATTTATTTTATTTCATTATTTATTTTAGAATTTTTTCATAATGTCTCTTTTTGTCTCCTCCTCGCTTTAATGTCTTAATTTTGTCCAAGACTGTTCCATACTATGATTGTAAATGTTATTCATATATAAGATGCCTTTTATTTAATTTTTATGAACCTTTTACAAACATGTAACAGTAGCTATGTTTCCATCCAAAAATGCGAATGAACTTTTAACAAAACTGGATTATCGCATAAAAGACGTGCGAATAAAGCAGCGTTTCCATCCAACGAGTCAAAGCGAACAAAATCGTCACTTCCTGATTAACTGGCGCCAAATATCAACAGTAAAAACTGAATTTGCTGCAATAGGAGAAGCTCCGTAAATCTTTTCTTCATCTAATTAATGACTTGTGCCTCAGACGGCAATCCTGAAACGCAGTGAACATGCAGTGGCATTTGAAGGTGTCAGACGTGGAGCACAGACACGCTTCATTCTGGAGGTCATTAATATTATAATAACACTAATACTTAAACGGTAAGGCATTTTAGAATTACCAAAACAGCATTTCAGATGTTCTATAGTGTGCTCAACCAGCTCAGCTGGTTTGTCCATTTACACACATTTTCATCATCACGAGATTTCTTATAACAAAACCACATGACCCTTTTGAATGCCCATGTTGGAGTTTGTGCGGTAAAAGTGTTTCCATAGTAGTTTTTGCGCATCTTATTGAATAAAAAAGTTTATCCTACTCAGTTATGCGCATATGTTTTTTTATGCGCATTTTCAAAATGTATGCGCATCATGGCGATTCCATCAACCGTTTTTTTATGCACATATGCAAAATGCAGGTTAGGCAAGTCATTGTATAACAATGGTTTGTTCTGTAGACAATCGGAAAACAAAAATACTTAAGGGGATAATTAATATTAACCTTTAAATGTTTTTTTTTATTATTTTAACTTTTTATTCTAATTGAAATAAAACAAAAAAGACTGAAGTCAGAAATACTGTGACAATTTCCTTGCTCTGTTAAATGTAATTTGGGGAATATTTGAAAAAAAAAAAAAAATCACAGTAGGTCTAATAATTGTAAATAAAAAAGCATAATTAGTAATTAAATGATTAATACAAAATTAATAACAAAACATACACATGTTTGTAAAAAGCTATAATAAGCTCAGAGAGCAAACTTGTCAATCACCTGTGTGTGCTCCCACCAATGAGACGACAGCTCTACACACATGACTTGCATAAAAACATTGTGGTGTGTTCTGAAACGTTGATTTGTAAAAGCGACCCAAACCAACATTGTAACAAGTAAGGTCGCTGTTTTACCGAGCAACACAAAAGATCTACACGTACAAAAATCATCTAATCGTGTATTCTGCAAGAAAACAGGAAGACGCATATTTTGACAGCTCTACAGAGAATTATAGCATATTATTTTCCAAACATTTTAGAAAATTATGAAGTCGTGTGATGAATAATATAAAAGACGCTTGTTTAGGAAAGGCAGTGCAGGTGTTGTTTATATGAGTGAAGAAGAGCAGGATGCATTTCTTAGTAGAAGTAACTCAGCTCACTGCAATGCAGCACCATACAAACAGACTCGGGTTACTAGGGTACTGAAATAGCACCTGCACAATGACTAAGGAAACCTAAAATTACCCGTTTGAAGTAGACAAAAGCATGAGTGCGAAGAAAAACAAATGTTTAAACTGGTAGTTCACCAAAAAATAAAATGCATGTAAGAATAAAACATAAATTTAGTTATAATGAAAACCTCGAAACACTACGAAGAACATTTTAAAAATCTTCATAAAGCATGAAACAACAGGAGGGCGAATAAATATTTAAAAAGGCTCAAATCTAATTCTGAGGTGTGTGTTTTGTTCCAAACATTTATAAGTTCTGTGGAACACAAAAGAAGATATTTTGAAGAATGCTGAGAAACAGTAACTACTGACTTCAATAGTAAGAAAAGCATGGAAGTTAATGGTTACAGGTTGGGCTGTAAAATAAGGTATTGATATTTATTGCACGGAACAGCATTGTCAATATCAATTACTCATAATATCGGAAAAAAAAAGATTTGGTATTTAGTTTAGGTATGAAGCGCTATAGTTTTATTAAAACATGTCTACTGAGCGCGTGCCTTGGAAGCAGTTCCAATAAGCTTAGGGTGTAAGTTTGTCATTTCCAATGGAGGTGACCTGCGTGTATTTTCCAGGTAAACCTAGATGAAAACATCTGAACATCTGCTTTACACTTTGTATGGAATATACACATTTCAGTATGCAGACTAATTACCTCAGACAAGCAAAGTGCACCCAAACACTGCAGCCCTTTTACTTTTCTCCATAAACTTGCATCGGAGCTGCAGCAACGATTTGTTAATTTGTCATCCTCTGAGAAAACACTGGCTGCCTAGTTACAAGAAACGCCAGAGGAGCGCGAGCGTAAAGTTCAATGTAAATGGTCAAGGAATCCTCGCGCACACACTTGTCACTTCAGGTCAGAATAACAACACATGCGAAAATGAGTGCCGTATAGCAGCAATGAGGAGATTGTAAATAAAAAAGGATGGAAGGATGTCGCCAGAGTGGCTTTTTGGTTGCTTTTCTTGTGCATCCCAGCCACTAGCTCCCCATCTGAAATAGTTTTTAGCATGGGGGTAATGTTAGCCATTCAACTTCACAATTTTTAATGTTGCAATATTTATATTTAAATAATGACGGCTGATTGCTTTACTTGAAAGCTCAGAGTTGATTATCATAATTTGTGCTGTTGACAGAGTTTACTGTAACATTATTATTCACACCTTGATTGTTCAGTATTTACGCTTCACCATTGCACACACTTTGCAACATTTTATTTATCAAGTTTAAGAGTTTCTTTAACACTTATGTTTATTTTATTATAAATAAAAATAAAATAAAATAAATCAGATATTTTGTTTAAAAATGTTTTTGACTATTAAAACTATTTGCCTTAGTAATGTCGATAAATTTAAATAAAGTGGTTAAATAAAAAAACTAACATTCCTAAATGTATTTTTAAAAAATATTTAATTATTATCGATATCGAATCATATGAAAAATAATATTGTGATAATTTTTTTTGCAATATCGCCCAGCCCTGGTTACAGTTTTCTATTTCTATTTTTTTTTTTATATCTTCTTGTATTCAACAGAAGAAAAAAACTCAAACAGGATTAGAACAAGTGAAGGGTGAGTAAACGATGACAGAATGTTCAGTTTTGGCTGAACCATCCTTTTAACATGTTTCTCCAATACATCCTGATCTGCAGGTTCATAACAACGCAGACTAATGGAGTGCTGACTATAAATGACACTGATTCCGGCCAAACCTGTACTAGTGTTTTAGTGTAACATCTGCATTGATCTTCTACTAAGGATCTAGCATGTGCTTTAAACAGGGCAATCCTTTAAAACAAGTAAGTGCAAAGAGAATGTGTCACCTGATGGGGTCGAACAAGCCAAAACACTCCCTCCACAACATGCCCGAACATGTCCAGAAACAATACTGTATTCACTTTTCATTTAAAGGACAGGTGTGAGTTAGAAATCTGGACTACTAACCTAAAGGTTGTAGGAAGTTGATGAATAATGATGATAATTGAGCTCTTGAGCAGGACCTCAAGTTAATTCAGAGATAATTCACCCCAAATTAAAACTTTTCTCAATTTAATTACTCCAAAAAAACGTACTTGCCTTAACTTGTTTTAAACTATTATGAGTTTTTTTCTTTTGCTAAACACAAAAGATGATACTTTGAAATATGTTGAAAACCTTTAACCATTGACCATTGCCATGGTATTAGTTTTCCTACAATGAAAGTTAATGGATACAGGTTTTCAGCTTCATTTAAAATGTCTTTTTTTTTTGTTGGTATTTAAAGGTTAGGAATCACTTTTAAAACAATAAAGGTCATTGCACACTGAATCTGAAATTTACATAAGTAATTTTCACACATTAAAAAATTTATTCAACCTCGTGTTGTATCAATCATATTGACACACTGTCTTCGAAACTTTGATCCGTCATGAGAAGATTTTAATCGGGTTTGATTTTATCAGCTTAGATAAAGCGTTTTGAGAGGAGTTTTGACAATTCAGAGCTGTACACGCAAAAAGCTAAATACAGATAGTATGTTTTACTTTAGAAAATGCAGTAGGCCGATCAATTAGTTCCATTTGGCATTTGAGATTGCTTTGATTTCCTGAAATAAACATTGCATTTGGGGTTAATGCAGCGCAGATCTTTGATAATGATAAAACTCTCCCTTCTCTTTATGCAGTACTGGTTGCACAAAATAGCCTGAATAGAGAAGTGAACAAAGTGTGTAACTGACAAATTTTCAGATATGAATTTAAAAAAAAAAACGCAAATGAACACTACAGACTTCAGTGTGCAAAGACCTTAACGGTTATTTTCACACTGAATCCAAAATTTTCATTTGCAATTTTCGCACTTTAAAAAAAACATTTGACCTCACGTTGTGTGAATCGTATCGACACACTGCCTCTGAAACTTTCGATTGTCATCAAAATATTGATAAAATAAATAAATAAATAAATAAAATAAAAATAAATCTAACTGGGTTCGATGTTTTCCTCTTTTTGCATCTGAAAAAGCGATTTGAGGGGAGTTTTGACAGTTCAGAACTACCATAAAAGCGATAATCTAAATATAAAATGATTCGACACGTCAAAAGCGGCCACCATCTATTATAATGTCTGTAGGTACTGTCAGTCTCTGTTCGGATTTGTTTTGCGTACGTGAATGTGTGATGTATTACAAGCGTGAACTTATTCCGACATGTTGCACTGTTTCTGAAATGTTTTTGCGGTTTTTTGTAATGGATTAATTAATACGCTTTGGACTCAATGTGCAAGGTTTGTTTGTGACGAATTTTGTACATATGAATATAAAAAATACGCATGAGAAAAATTTGGACTTCAGTGTGCAGACCTTACGAGTAAATTTTGGGGTGAATCTCCCTTTTAATTCATGGCCTGCAGTAATTTACTGGTAGACGGTTTAGAGAATCAAATGCTTCCTAAACAAAACAAAAAAAATAATAATCATCAAAAGAAATGTACATGAGCATCAATGCAGTGTTTATACTTACGTATTCTTTGACATTTTTGGTTTTCACTGCTTTATAGGAGTAGTACGCTGGGTACAGGTTTCCGAAAACCAGCCTGTGTAAAGAAACAGAGGGCATAAATAAATAAACGAAGACAAAACAGATGTAATACTACTGATATTCTTCAAAAGCAGGTTGATTAATGGCTTCAGATCCTCCTGTCTGTGTGTCTAGCTCTATTAAAAAGAACTCTCTTCCTCTGTCTGATTGTTTACAAGGTACACAACGATTTCCTTTTCTTCCTTTCGGAAAAGAAAAAAATATGGGAAATGGGAGAGAACAAAAATGCAGGAGACACCTAATGTGAAACATGTCCTAAAACAGATTAAATCCATGTGGGCCGCAGTCCACAGAGAGCTCAGTGCGCTTTTAACAGCAGAAAACTAGCTCGTTTTAAAATGCCAAAATGGCAACAATTTGTACATAATGAAGCCAGAAATTCATGTAGATTTCCATTTTTTTTAAATCATGAAGCAAGTTACTTCCAAAAGAAGCTGGCCTTGAAATATAAACTAAAGGCTGATATACACTAATTTTTGTACATATTGTTTCTCCCATTCACTTGATGCTAGGTTCTGAAAATTAGAGCCAGTCTGCAGATTTTGGGCAAGCAGAGTTGACAGATTTCCCAGAAAAAAGTAGTTGTGTATGATGAAGACAAACTCAGTTTTTTCTGGCTTCAGACTATAACTAACTTTCATCCAGTCTTAAGATATCAAACATGTTTGAAATTAACAGAAGATTAAAAAACAACTATTTTAAAATACAGCGCTAACCCTGAGACATAGGCCGTACTGACACTAGGTACAGTTGCCTTGCTTGTCTCCCCTCCCGTCTCCCCCGACGGCCCGCACTCACACCACAATCGGGCCTGGGCACGCTTACGTCATCGCTGCTGCACTGTTCAGTGAGAAGCACTCTCTCACTCAACAGCACGGCGGAGATTGCTCTAGTTATATCGTTTCAGTCGTTTGATATGCAGTGACATGAAGTCAAATATTTCGCCAAACAGTCTTTAGGGATGTGGTGACACGCAGTCAGATTTTTCGTCGAACAGATCCTCTACTTTTGCCGCTCATAAACAATCATAAAGCCCTTGTGCTGCAGGAATGAGGAGATTCTGCAAAATATTTGAAAGCGTGTCACTGCATATCAAACGACTTAAACGATATAACTAAAGAAATCTCCACTGTGCTGATCAAGAGTGCTTACTGAACAGCGCAGCATCGATGACGTAAGCGTGCCCAGGCCCGAATGTAATGTGAGTGCGGGCCATCAGGGGAGACGGGAGGGGGGAGGGGGGCAAGCGTGTTTTGGCCCGGTTCCAGGCAACTGTACATAGTGCGAGTACGGCCTTAGTGTTTGATACAATTTCTTTCTCTGTAAATAATCGTTTAAAATTTCCAATAAATTACTAATAACAAATGTAATGTATATGTGAACAGTCTAATATACAGCCTTTCTAAGTATACACTAAAGTGTGCATAAACACTGGCGCTTGACACATACACTAGAATGATTTGTTTTTCTCCAGTGTTAGCACTTTACCTCTCCAAAACCTGTGATCAATAATAATGTTTTTGTACTGGTTTGAAGGAACAGCATGTAATTTTCACCCCAAGAGGGTGCATATTCATAAACAAAGAAATAGTTTGATGATGACTGTGTGTGGAATCATGGGAGTTGTTATCCTTGCTACATGCAACGGCACTCCTTGTCATATTATTAGGGCTGCACAATTGATCATTTCAGCATCAACATCGCAATGTGCACATCCAAAATAATAACAACACAAAGATATGCAATGTTGAGTCTGAATTATAGTTGACCAGGAACCACAGAATTATATTTAATAACCCTATTTATATGAAATGTATATGATTTATGTAAAAAAAAAAACACACTTCTTACTTAGAAGTTTTGTCTGTTTCTAGTCCAAATATCTACATTTGATAGCAAAAACAAGATTAATTCACTTAAATAATTATGCTTGTTTTAAGGAAAAACTCTAAATTTTCACTTATTTTTTTCGGACAGTGAAAATGAAACAATATATGATAACAATATATAAGTATCATATTTTACTTTAGATTTTTTTACCTGAATACTGTTGGACTGTATCATCAAATACAGCTATTCAAACCATCTTGTAAAACTGTATTCATATGCCAAAATGTATTGTAGAAAAACAAAGTATCGCAATATCAGATTTTTCCAATATCGTGCAGCCCTACTTATTATCATACTACTATACTTATTATCATGGTAGTATGAAGTAGAGTAAGGCTGAAAGCAGTCAAAGCAAAACAAGAGTAATGACGCAAACATGGCACGAAAGAAGCAAAGCTTTTATTATGCCACAGTCCATCGTTTCCAGTTGTGATTAATTATATGGACAAGAAGTATTGCTGTACTAAATACATAAGGTTCTGTTATAATGCTGCTTTGTGCAGTCTAATAAAGCACACAACTTATTAAAGCATCTTTGGGGTTTCCCTGTTTTCTTTATAATTCCGGAACCAAAGCTTTGTCAATAGCATGACCACACAGGACACAATCCATATCACTAGTTAAAATAGCTTATTTCTGTGCATTTGAACACTCTTTAATAAAAGTACATAAGCCAGCAAAATATAAACACTAGTGGTTTTTGGATATTGGATATAAGAACTGCATACATTTTGTGCCTTTAAAATATTTGCAGATTAATTTGCTCACATAAACACACTTGTCAACAAAGGTGTGTAATATTTTTACATTTGTTATCCGTCTACATTTCTTTTCCGACTGAAACAACCGCCCAATTCAGTGTTGGTGATCTTGTGGACAAACTAAATAGTGCACAAACCATTCAAAGTGCAAATGTGAGCCGTGCACATATGTACAAGGATTCTACTGTGAAAACTACATTTTAATTTGGACCCACAAGTAAAACCTGCAGTTTAGGCTTCAAGCTTAATAGATTAACAAATCCATACAAAGAAACTGTCCTCATTGGCCAAACCTAATAATTTCTTGTAAACACAGGTGAAGGTAAAAATAAGTTCACAATGACCTGTTCATTTCAGGGAATGTCCTGAGTTCAGCAAATAAAGCAGAAGACGGGCCAAGTGCCAAACGTTTTTTTTTTTGGGCAGTGTGTCGCTCTCCCACGAGGCTCATTTAATATGTTCCACTCTACTGAATTCATTGAGCAACTTGAGGAAAAGACAGAAGAAGCCACTTACTCCCCTTCTATGAGCAAGACACCCATTGGCACCAAGCAATTAGTGCACATTCAAGGGTGCCAAACACAAAACCAAACCCTTTCTCATTTGGACACTCCAGATAAGATAAATAAGATCCAGAGGATACATTTTTCCAACAAATTTTTCTTTTATTTTGAATTATGTGAACAAAGAAAATTGCTATATAATAATATTAATAATAATGCCAACAACAATAACAATAATAGTGACAATAAAAAGGAAAAACTGAAGAATAAATGACAAAGACATATTAAAAAAATTACATACATAAAAAAATTACATACATACATACACACATACATACATGCATACATTTACACATACATACATACATCAGGGCTCGAGATTGCGACCATTTTGGTCGCATATGCGCCCAAAATTTTACCTATGCGACTTCAAAATATATTTGGGAGCATGTGTGCAAGTGCAAAAAATTGTTGTGTGCGACCAGTTTTTACTGCAAAATGTTCACCACATGCGAGGATTCGGGAGACATTCACGCAGAATGCATCTCTGCACTTGAAACATGAAACGCAGTGTTTAGGAATGGATTCAAACAGTTGTCATGTAAACTTGCTGCAGTAAACAAAGTTAAGTACATAATGCATACCCCGCCTTCTCGCTCTTCTTATTGGCCCACTGCTCTAGCACTGAAATATCACCAGTCAATCACTCAGTCAATGCCTTCTGGCTTGGGATGACAGAGAGAGCTACTACCGCGAAAAACAGTAAAGCGCTGAAGATGAGAATGAAGACTGACAGATTGTGTTTTAGAAACCATGGCATCTAAAGTTTTTTTGCTTGTAAGTTTTATTAGTGTTGATTTCAAATGCAATTAATATGTTTGTATAAAACTTGTCAAGGCTTAACAATAAGAACTGCCTGGTGGCCCAGGGCCAGCTTGAGAGACACTTGGGACAGTAGACCGGATCATTACTGGCCCGATTGGGACAGTGCTGCCTTGTCACTAACATATAATTTGTCTGTGACTATTTGTCAATTGCGTGCATTTTAAGTTTGTGCTTTTAATTTGTAAACACTACCTTCTTTGTGATGTCGTAAACACCATATTGCTTTCCAGTTGCTCTTATCTGATTGACATGATATTTTTTTTCTGTAACCTGGTAAAAACCAGTACAGCGAAGAAACGGCAACATGGCGGCAACATTAAATTATAAGGCTAAAAGAAAATTTCTGTTTCTAACAGTTGGAAGTAGACATTTACGTGTGACTAACACGACAAAATAAAAATGAAGTGATGTTTTGCACAGTTTGCTGCCAGTTTAACAAGTCAGCCACCTTTTTTAACATTTTCTGTACTGCTCTTTTTGTTTGCATAACACTTTTATTTACAATTTATTTTAAGTATTGAAATTCTAGATTCACAGACTTTATTTTTGACACACTATTTAAAATGTGGCAAAAAAATAGCTATTTACCTCCCTTTTTTTGGTGAGGCCAGTGAAAATTTTGGCAGGGCAAGTAAAAATCTGAACCACTGGCCCGATCGGACCAGTAGAAAAAATCTATAGCGTTGAACCCTGCTTGTAGTAACGGTGCTTATAAGTGCGACTAAATTTTGGCTGATGCGCCTACATTTTTAAAGTTAGGAGCAACGGTGCTACGAAGCAGAAAGGTTAATTTCGAGCCCTGTACATACATAAATACATACACACACATAAAAATCCATAAACCAAATCTGTGTTTAAGGTTAAGTAAGGGTAAAATTAAGCCAGTTAAAAATAAATACATAAATAAATAGTAATAGACAAATAGTTTAAAATACTCAAAACCGTGCTGAAAGAGG